CTCTCTGTTTTTGAAAACTTATTTTAAGAAAATAGCCAATACAGTTTGGTTGGTCCATGATATGGGTCCAATAGTAGTGTAGTTGGATGAGGCTTGACAAGAGCTTTCCAACGATATATTATAAGCCCAATTTCGATGACTATTGAGGAAGTTATGGTCAATTTACTAAACTGGGCCCGGTTTGAACCTTATATGCGGCCCAATGATCTAGGGGAGGGCCTAATATGATTTATCATTCCTAATGCAATTAGGAATGGTTTTAGTCTTCTAGATTCTTCTAGAAGGTTCTTTTCATTCCTAATTCAATTAGCATCGATAAATTGACTTTTGTTGACTTTTCAGAGTTTTAATTAAAATCAAATAGCATTTTTGAGGAAAATATACGATTTTATCCTCCAGTATGGAAAACTTATCTGATTTTCGAAAACGCGTCAAAAACAGGCTTGGCGCCTGACTCCAGGCATTGGCGCTTGGAGCTAGGCCTGGCGCCTGGCGCCAGTTAGCCTGGGTTGGCGCCAGCTTTGTTTCAGTTGCGCCAGGACTCTGTTATGTTAATTTATCTTTTTGGCTGATTTTCTCTATGAATCACGTATTAAAAACTCCGTTTTCAATCATCAACAACGAATTCTCATCAACATTCATCTATATTCACCTACAATCAGTTTTCAGTTTTCATTCTCTTCTAATTCATTCATCAATCAATTCATTCACCATCCCTTTCTCTCTTTTTTCTAAACCTTGCTTTTTATATACAAAATTCCGCATTCACAAGATCTAGAAACACCTAGCCATATTCGAAGTTGCCTTCGCCATAGTCGTGAAAGGTTTAATTTCTGAGGATTTGGTCCCAAATCTCTCTTTAAATTATTTAATTTGATTGTTTTTATTATTATTTTCCTTAAAGTTACTAACGCGTGTATTTTGTTATTAGAAAGAGGTACGAGGTATCAAAGTAAGTACTTTAATTGATTTATTGATGTTATGATGTAGAAATCATGTTTATATTGTTATTATGATATTCCTAGTATAATGTCAGCTAAGGTAATTTTAATATCAAGTATAATTAAAAGTATGATGCTTCCTATTCTCTTCCTAATATTTATGATTGTTAGTATCATGTTAGGGCTAAAGCTTTCATTTTAATTTCTTAGTGACATGGTAGGATTTGTTATTAATCTTGTTAGTATCATGCCTAGGATCTTGCTATTATTATGTTTTAATATTCACAAGAACATGATTATGATTATAATTGTTATAATTTATGATGATTATGAATATTATGAATATTATTATTAATATGATGATTATTTTATTTATGATAATTATTATTATGATTATAATTATTATTATGATTATTGTTATAATTTTATGGTCATGATTATATTTATTATTGTTATGTTGCTTGATATTTATTTTTATTGCTTGATCACGCCTTTTATGCATGTTTAAAGGGAATTGGTACTTGTAATCACGCTTAATAAGATAATTAATAATCTTGTTTAGGGTTAATTTGATTATGATTTCAAGTGATCGCTAATAATAGTTTTATTTGTGCATTAATATTCAACCAACATAGATAAACAGGTTTAGGGTTAATCCTATTGATTGCATGTTAGTCAGAAAGCACACATGAATACAATGTGAATAAAGTAGAGGCCTATTATTAGGGCATGTTCAATCTCTTTTAGGTTGGATTTGTACCTTCATCCCCGAACCCTTATTTGGTTCTAGACCTTATGGAGTTGACGATCTCTTGGATCGTTAAGGGGTGTAACCTTCACCCTGTGAATGGCTTACAAGTTCCTAAAACTTGTTGGCGACTCATTTGCTTTATCTTCTTCCCTTTTGGACGCCACCGTACTTTAGTGTATGATCACAGTGGGGTTCAAGTTAGGGGTTAACGCTTAAATTTATTCCCTACAGAAAGGAAGGGAAGGGATAGAGAGGGGAGGGAAAAGAAGGGGAGGGGAGGGAGGAAGAATTTTTATTTCCCTTGTTTGGATAGAAGAGAAAGGGAAGGGAAGGGAAGGAAGGGAAGAGTACTTGGTAATAGCAGCTGTAGCAGCAGGAAGAAGATGACATAGCTTCTTTTTTTTTCCATTTCTTTTTTTAAATATCTATGAGTATTATTCATATTTTTCATTTTGGAGTACACTTCATTTTTTTTAGAGTAATTTTTTGGAATATTATATATAAAAAAATTATTTATTTTTTTCATCTTTTTTAACATTATACTTGAGTAGTTGAGTTTATATATTATTTTTTTGGAATGCTTTCTAATAAAATTGCAATCAAAAGCATAATATTTTATAGCGAAAAAACTAACAATAATCTTGAAAAGTATAGACATTACAATTTATATCACCTAAAATATTCTCATTAATTGGCTATTTCAAAAAAAAAAAAATCTCATTGAAAAATTCTTTGTTATGATCAAGGACTCAACATCACACTTCTAATTTTCCTCATCGAGCATCATCTCTATCAAATAGTCCTTTCTTTCCTCTGGTGGACAACCAAAAAGCTCTCGAATCCTTGACTGTTTTGCATTTAAGAACCTATAAGCTTTGCGACGAGTTAACGAGTCAATCTCCATCTTTGACAACTCTTCAAAAACCTCTTGCGGTGAATACACTTGAGCACGACCTCTCTCAAAAATTACATTTCCCTCTCGAAGAGCTTGAGCCACATTGTCCAACCCTTCTTTTATGAATAGGAGCTCATTTTGAAACACTTCCTCTGCTTTTCTTTTCTTGCCTTTTCGGTTGGACGAATCGGCATAATCACTTGGTTGGGCTTCTCCAAGGCTTTCATCCTTCTTCTCAAAGCTTGATTCATCCATAGCCTTCATTTTCTTCTCCTTTGCAGTTCCAGAAATTTCACCCGTTGCTCTATCCTTGGAAAAAAGCTTCAAAAGTACATCATAATGACGAAATGGAGTTGTTTTCCACTTAGCAGCTTCTAGTTTTCGCTACAAATAAAAAAAATACAGCAACATTACAGCCAATACTTCAAAATTGCATCGAAATCACACGAAAAGAAATCAAAGGTGCTGCCACTGGAAAAAGAACAGTAGCAGTATAGGACAAAGTTAATAAATGCCACTGCTAGCAACTTCAAGATTTGCTAGTCTTATTTACTAGTCTTTTGGGGATATTGTGAGGATAAACACCAAGAAAAGTGTTGAACCTTACCTACCTGTCTCAGAGATGTGCAACATTTTCCTATACAACACTGCCTAGATTTGCTAATAAAAACACACAAGTTATTCCAAAAATTGTTTAATTCAATCAGCAAAGACAGTCTAACTTATAAAATTACTCAGCCAATGGTCACTGTATAAGCACGCAGAGCTAACATTTAGAATCAGATTTTCTGCATTATTGTCCTAAACATACTCTACTACAACATCATTTTTAAAGAATCCGACTAATTAAGAACTGGTGAGATGTCAACAATATACTTATAACTACAAAATGACTCAATTTTTTGAAGATAATTAGACCTTCTTTATATATATTGTACATTCTTAAAAGGTGCTCTTGAATTAAATTGTAATGATATGCTAGTTACAATAAATTAACTACATTTAGAATACCATCATATGATTATCATATTAATCACACCATACCAATCAACTTTACCAATTGCAAATAGTATAAAACCATATACGTAGTGTTATAATTGCTAGCTTACTTTGTTAATCATACTTCCAAATCATTCTACTATAACTACTATATTTAAGACCACAAAAAAAATTAGCATACTTAAATAACTTAATATACCAACCCAAAATAAGAACACATTTCAGTAAAAAAAGTTATAACTTCAAAATCAAACAAACAAATTCATACCTGAACACAAGCTAACATCAGGAGTTTGAAGTCCACAAACAGAAGGCAATTTAAGAGCTTTATTAAGATCCAAATCAATTGGAAAATCCTTACTTTTACCCAACATTTGATACAAACAAATTGGATTAGTATCCAACATTCCAGCTAATTCAGGGCAACAATTTTTATCAGGTTTTGCTGATTTACTTCCTTTCTCAACATAAGTCAAACAATCTGACATATTCAAAAAAATATGGACACAAATAAATAGTATGTACTATGTAGCTCATCATAGCTGTCAAAATATAGCTGAAGACAGTATGTACTAATTTCTTACCATAAATATCATCACTGCCACTTCGTTACCAGAAAGAATTTACATTAGACGTAAACTCAAACATGGAAGAAAAAACCATGTACAGAAAATAACAGAAAAAGTACAATTATGTTATAATTACAGAAAACCATGGACAGAAAATAACAGAAAAAGTACAGAAAACTATGGACAGAAAATAACAGAAAAAGTACAGAAAACTATGGACAGAATATAACAGAAAAAGTACCTCAATCAAGTTATCCCAAACTTCATCTACATTCTAAAAAAATTCTGTTTCTTCATTCCAACCCCAACTACTAGCATTGAAAAGATCATAAACATCATTGAAATTACTCTTTATCGTCTTAAGCCGATTCTTCAAATGCTCTTTGGTAAAAGGATGGTTCAACTTTTCAGTACATTCCTTCACAACATTTTCATACGCCTTTGAAGTGAACTGGCCATCAACTCTATTTCCATTGATGTCCTCAGCGATAAAAGCATCAAGAAAAACCTCGTCCATGTGTAAAGTCCACCGAAGAGAAGTGGATGCCTTTTCATCTGAGCTTTTGTTTTTCTTTACCATCAGTGCTCATATAAAATAGATAAAAAAAATACTTTATAAAGAGCATATAGATTGCTACAATATAGAATTTTCATAAACTGAATCAAAATAACAAGTACAAGTATTCATTAACAAAAGCAAAAACAAAATCAAAAAATATGTATAGTTATTTCCCCTACAATACATAATCATCCCACATTTGTTTAGCTATACTATCTCGAATTTTAGACCCTTCTTTAGATTCTTCTTCGGTTGAAAGAGTCTCACACTCCTCGGCATCTAGTAATTAACGATCCACTTCATCAATAAGGCTTTGATCCGGATCAAATCCCATGAGAAAATTGTGAAGTATGCAACATACTACAATAATATCAGTTTGGGTTTTAAGAGAATATTGAGGCTCATTAGTTCCACCTATAATTCCAAAACGTTTTTTTAAAACTCCAAAGGCTCTCTCAATTGCATTTCGTAAGGAGGCATAACGATGGTTGAATATTTCTTTGGCATTCTCAGGACTCCGATTTGAGTATTCCTTAAGATGATATCTTACACCTCTATAAGGTGTAATAAGAGAAGTCTTTAACATATAGCCAGCATCTCCAAGATAATACTTACCTAATTACATAAATAAATAATTACTAATAGTTTAAATATTAAAAATAATAAAACAATAGGTAACATAGATACTAATGCATTACCTTGAGGAATAATTAACTTATCTTCCCTACTTAGAGCATTCTTAAATACTCTAGAGTCAGAAGCTGAACCCTCCCAACCTACTAAAACATAAGTGAATTTGAGGTCAAAAGTACAAGCCGCCAACACATTTTGTGACGGATAACCTTTCCTCCCTCGAAACCTACGAGCATTGGCACCGGCAACTTTCACACGAATATGAGTTCCATCAAGAGCACCAATGCAATCCTTGAAATAAGGGAAAAATCGACTATCACCAAGAACTTCTGGTGAAACTTCCTCTGATCCATTAGGTTGCTTTGGAAATTGATCTTCCATCTTAATTATAGCATTTAGAAATCTATGGAAATGTCGGCTCACCGTTTCACCAGAACGCATAAAAAATGCACTTAACGAGCAATTTCTTGCATTATGACCAAGAATATACAAAGATTTTGCCACTTGTTCCTCCACCGAAGCCCGTCTTGTATCCTTTAGATACTTCCCATCCCTTAAAATTTTACATAACTTAACAAAAGTCTCGGGGCTCATACGAATCAATTGTCGACTAATTCGAGTGACTTTCAAATCATTCATAAGTTCATGACGTCTACTCTCTCTGACCATGTAGGCTTCTAAACTACGATTTCGTGTCAATCTTTCCAAACTCCTACTTAGATAATATGACTTGATAAGACACATTGCATACACAACATAACCAACAACTTGAATTACAGCTCCACATCTTGTTCTTTCCCATGTTACTTCCCCATTTTTGACATCCAATTCCTCAAAATCTCCCTCCATATCAAAGGCAATGTGAACGACTATAAAAATATTATTGAACATATCAACAATAAAGCATAACAATTATAAATATACAAACAGTTTAAATCAAACAGAGAGTTCACTCAAATTGATCAACAAAGTTCATAAACCATATACAGTTCAACAGAAATTTTACAGCAAATTAACCCAAATAGAAAACAACCCTATTGCATAAATCAACAGAACTTAACAGTTTGTCCAAAAAAAAAAAAAAAAAAAGAACTTAACAACAGTAATTATAACTTTATGTTTTATTGATATGTTTTCACTTCTAATTTTAGGCGCCTTTAGGAATTTGGTCACTTCAAAAATTAAAACTTTATGTTATACGAAGTGGAGTAATTATAGTGTAGTCCTTGTAGAAGTTTGAAATAAATTTAGTGGTGGTGGTGCAACATTATTGTGCTAGGCAGCAAATCCCACAGTTGCCGAGTATTGTAGATGCTGAAATGGTTCCTAGGCAGTAGGCATAATTGATCAAGTATGGTCTGGCCCAAAAATCCTAATCAACAGCAGTAACCTCAACACCCTTCTCCTCCATTTCCCCCAAAGTTTTCAAAGCCAATTCAGGATCACCCTTCCCACAAAAACTCCTAATCAAAATCCCATAAGAAACCTCATTAAGAACAAACCAATGTCTCTTAGGCATTTCGTCGAACAGTTGGGGTACATTATCATACAACTTAGAATGATTACAAGCAGCAAGCAAAGCATTAATTAAAAGAAAGCGCAGTTCAATATGCCTTAGAAATCGCACGCATCCTAGCCTGAGTAGAAGAACAAAATCGCACTCCACAAAATCGCATTAAAATATTTAATCAACAAAATCAAACTAAAATATGACACTTACCTTGAAAAAATCAAATAAATCGTGAGAGAGATGACAAGTATGAGTAGATTTGTAGTGAAATCTCACTCCACAAACCCTAGAAATTGGGGGAAAAAAATTGAATTTTGGAACCCTAGAAATTTAGGGATATTGTGAGGAGAGAGAAAAAAATTTACATCAAAAATTGATGTTCAGATTTTTGTTAGAAAGTAAAGGGTATATTTGTCTTTTTACATTACATCAATTTTTACATAATTTTCCTTCCAAATCTTTTCAAAATTGGAATGATTTTACTCCTAAGTAATTAATGAATTATTTTCCACCCATTTCCTTTCCTTCCATTTCCTTTCCCTTCCTAATTTGCTATCCAAACAAAGGAAATTGTATCCCTCCCTTTCTCTTCTCTTCCTTTCCCCCTAAATCCTTCTATCCAAACACACCCTAAGGGGAATCACCGACAAGTGTTAATTATAATAAGCTAGATTGAATCAAGAATTGAAAGTTTATGGACTAACTAGTTTAGACTAAGGAAATGACATGGGAAAGAAGTGCTAGGGATAAATGGGGTTCAACATCAACCAAACCAAATAATCGATAACAAGGATAAATCATTAACATACATGGGTGATAGAATGAGAACTCAATGTTGCCTTCTTTCAAAGTCACAACACTAATCATTTCCTATACCAAACAACTAACATAATAAGAAACAACGTCTCGATGATAGGGAGTGGATTTCTAACTCAACTTTGTATTTCGATCGGTCTGAGAAAGTTTAAGGCGCAAATAATTGGGATTTCTCACCTAAATTATCACACTAAAGCATCCTATTCATTGAAACAAATTATCCATAGTCATAAAAGAGACATAATCCGATTGCACAAGAAATGACTCACTACTAAACCCCATCTTTCAATGTAAGTAAGGGAATGAACACATGAGCATAAAGTGGCCACCAAAATATACATGCAATAATAAATTCAAGCACAAAAAATTATCAATCCAGAGTAGAACATGAATAAATCCAAGTCAATCAACCATGGCTTAGTTGGGTTTTCACCCAACCCCTAACTAAAGAACTACTCACAAATCATGAATAAGAGTAACATTCTAACATTGAACATGCAAGAAATATTAATGAAGATTAAGATTCACTATAGCATATAGAAACAGAAAATTAAGAAGAGAAGGTAGTAAGAGATTATTACTTGAAGCTTCAAAGTTGAGAAGAAATGTTTAAATTGAGATACTATAAAGCTTGAAATTATCTTCTACAATGCTTGGGTTTGAGAGATACTAAGCTAATACAACTAATTAATTAAAGGTCTACATTGTTAGCGAAGAGAAAGGGCCGAAGAAGACTAAGGGAGAAGAAGATCTCCCCTACAAATGAAGCCAAAGGGATATTATATAAACCCCAAATAAAAGGGCGGAGAAAACGAGGAAACGACCCGTCTACAGGTCGGAACGGACGTGCCAAAGGTTGCACGGATGTGCAAAACTGTTAAAATACGAGCAATAGCTACTGATTGACCTTGCATGAACGTGCATCACTTGGCACGAATGTGCAGGGCCTTGCACGGTCGTGCCACTTATTGGAACGGACGTGCAACCCTTTACTGGCAAAACAGATTTGTTTTGGAAGATCATAACTTCTTCAGCACTCATTGAAATAAGCATGTGACCAGTCGTTGGAAATCTCTTGAGATGAACTTTATTCTACAATTTGAATCATTTCAAAATATTGAGTAGAACAAAAGTTATGGTCATTTAAAGTTGATTTTAATGCAAAAAACCTTCCAAATGCTCTTATTTCATTCTTGGACTCTTTTCCTTTCTTATATCATTCTTCCATAGCTCCCTTATTTCCTATTCTTGTATCCAACTTCTTTTCTTCTTTGTCCAAAAGCTTCAAAGTGTTATACCTAACTATACATCAAAACACTAGCAGCCCCGTAAAGCATAGGATACACATAAAATGCATAAAAATAGAGTAACTAGTAAACAAATATATTGATTTCTCACAATTCTAAGGCTCAAAACCACTCAAGAATCATACAAATTACTAGCTATCAAATCCCCCCAAGCTAGGCTTTTGCTTGTCCCGAGCAAAATAGATATAAAAAACCAAAATGAGGAAAGAACTTGCTAGAACAAAAACAAAGAAAAACGACAAGAGAGGGAAGGAAAGCAAGCAAAATCGTACGCATGGCAAACGCAAATCACTTTTAGCTCAAGTGAGAAGCCATTTAAACCCACAAGTTTCCTTACAGGACGAGTTTTGATTTCGTGAGGGTTTCCAAGATTATATAGAGCGCCTATCTAAGTGAACCGTTCTATTTGATTTATTTATTTATTGTATTAAATTGTGATTTTATTGTATAGTACGCATTTCTTAAACAAGCGTTCTATATGATTTGTATATTATTTTTTATTAAATTGTGATTTTATTATATAGAACGTATTTCTTAGCTAACTGTTCTATTTGATTTTAACATATTAAAAAAAAGAAAAAAAAGAAACTTTATTTCCTTGTGGATTTGAACGCCTTTTCTCATAATATCCAACTTATATCAAGCGCCGTTAATCGCTTATTTCTCTATTGCCCTCTTCAAAACTTTCCTCTTTCTTTGTCTCTTTTATCAGATCTGGTTTAGAGCTTCTTAGTTGCTCTAACCCTAACTCCATCACCTTCTCTAACTACAGAAAACCCATCTAGTCCTCTGTCAAAAATGACATAATTATTTGGAGCTTCAGCAATGACATAACAACAATGGTAGACAAATCTCGAAGAATTCTTACCCCCGGCCCTAAACGACTATGGATGTCTAATTTCGCATCGAGCTATCTCCTCTGCACTCCATTGTCAATTATTCATTGCTACTCACCTCACCGACCCTATCTTTATTGGCCCTCAAATAACCGATTTCGTCAAGCAGGTCAACTTCTCTCTCCCCTCTTTGATTTCATATAAATATCAATTTCTTCATAATTATAATGCACCCGAGTAGAAGTGATCTAGCTACTATTGTAGTGGTATTTAATTGTTTGTATAAGTGTAGACACCCATTTGTGTCTCCCCAAAACCAAACCCGGTGATGAATACCTTTCACGTCGAATCATAATTGAATGAAGTGAAAGTGTGGAAAATCTAGTGTTGCAGTTTGTTTTATTTCTCTTCTTTCTTTCTGTTTTCGAAAACTTATTTTATGAAAATATCCAATCCAGTTTAGTTTGGTCCATAACAAGGGTCCAATAATAACGTAGTTGGATCGGGCTCTAAAAGAGCTTTCCAATGATATATTATAAGCTCAATTCCGATGAATAATGAGGAAGTTATGGCCAAATTACTAAATTGGGCCTGGTTTGATCTTTATATGTGGCCCAATGATCTAGAGGAGGGCCTATTAAGATTTATCATTCCTAATGCGATCAGGATTGATTATGTAGTCTTCTAGAATCTTCTAGAAGGTTCTTTTGAATCCTAATGTGATTAGCATTGAAAATTGAAGTTTTATGAGTTTTCTTTAGAATAAAAGAAGTGTTTTAAATGAAATTACAGTTTTACCCTTTGTACGCTTAATTTTATCAAAAATATGAAAACGTGTGAAAAAATTGCCTTCAGCGCTGCACCACAGGCTGTCGCCTGGCGACAGAGGCATGTGCGGCGCCAACGTCGTGTTTTATTCTTCTTGAAACTCCGATTCTTTTTTATCATATTCTGGCTTATTTTCGTTATAAATAGCCTCCTTAAACCTCCGTTTTTAATTACCAACTCTCATCAAGAAATCTTGATACTCTCTCTCTTATTCTAAATCAACTTTTCACAAACAAAATTCCGCATTCACAAGATTTAGACACACCTAGCATAATTCGAAGTTGCCTTCGCCCTAGACGTGAAAGGTTTGATATTTCTGAGGGTTTGGTCCCAAATCTAGTCGAAACTTTCTTAATTCTTTCTTTCAATTATTTAATTTAATTGTTTATTTTATATTTTCCTTGAAGTTTCTAACGTGTGTATTTTGTAATTAGAAAGAGATACGAGGCATCCAAGTAAGTACTTGAATTGTTTTTAATTGATATTATGATATATAAATCATGTTTAGGCTGTTATTTTGATTCCTAGTATCATGTTTAGGGTGATTTGCTTATATCAATTATGATATCTATGATGCTTTCTATTTTCTTTCCTAATATTCATGTAAGCATCATGTTAGGGTTAAAGTTTTGATTTTTATTGCTTAGTGACATGCTAGGGTTTGTTTTAATCTTGTTAGTATCATGCCTAGGATCTTGCCATTATTATGCTTTAACATGATTATTTTAATTATGATTGTTATTTTTATAACTATTATAATTATTGCTTATGATGAATATTATGTTGCTTGATTATATTTATTGTTATTGCTTGATCACGCCTTTTATGCATGTTTAAAGGGAATTTGTACTTGTAATCACGCTTAATAAGATAATTAATAATCTTGTTTAGGGCTAATATGATTATAATTCAAGTGATCGCCAATAATAGTTTTGTTTGTGCATCAATATTTGTAGGGAATATTTCAAGCATTACCCCAAACTTGAACTCTACTTTGATCATACACTAAAGTATGGTGGCGTCCAAAGGGAAGGAAGCTAGAGCAAAAGAGTCACCAACAAGTTTTAGGAACTTGTAAACCGTTCACAGGGTGAAGGTTACACCCCTTAATGATCCATGAGATCGTTAACTCCAATAGGTCTGGAACCAAGACTGGAAGTTCGGGGATGAAGGTACAAATCCAATCTAAAAGAGAAAGAACCTTCCCTAAAATAGGCCTCTACTTTATTCTGCTCGTATTCTTGTGCGCTTTTTAACTAACATGCAATCAATAGGTTTACCCTAAACCTGTTTATCTATGTTCGTTGAATATTAATGCACAAATAAACTATTATTGGCGATCACTTGAATTATAGATCATATTAACCCTAAACAAGATTATTAATTATCTTATTAAGCGTGATTACAAATACAAATTCCCTTTAAACATGCATAAAAGACGTGATCAAGCAACAACAATAATAATCATCAAGCAACATAAAAATCATCATAATCATAATAATAATAATCATAATTAAAATAATTATGAAGCATAAAAATAATCATAATCATGTTAAAGCATAATAATAGCAAGATCCTAGGCATGATACTAACAAGATTAATAACAAACCCTAGCATGTCACTAAACATTAAAGATCAAATATTTAGCCCTAATATGACACTAACATGAATATTAGGAAAGACAGTACGAAGCATCATAGAAATCATAATTGATATAAGCAAATCACCCTAAATACGATACTAGGAAAAGCATCCTAACAGGATACTAGGAAAAGCATCCTAACATGATACTAGGAATCAAAATAACAACCTAAATATAATTTCTTTATAATATCAATTAAACAATTAAATCACTTACTTGGATGCCTCGTATCTCTTTCTAATAACAAAATACACACGTTAGTAACTTCAAGGAAAATATAAAATCAAATAATTGAAATAGAGAATTAAGAAAGTTTAGACTAGATTTGGGACCAAACCCTCAGAAATCAAATTTTTCACCTCTAGGGCGAAGGCAACTTCGAATTTGACTAGGTATGTCTAGATCTTGTGAATGCGGAATTTTGTATGTTAAAGGGCTAGTTTAGAAAAGAGAGAGAGAGAGAGAGTATCAAGAATTTCTTGATGAGAGTTGGTGATTAAAAACGGAGGTTTTAGGAGGCTATTTATAACGAAAATTAGCCGGATTATGATAAAAAAGAATTAGAGTTTCGAAAAGAATAAAACACGACGCTGTTGCCTCGCACACTCTGTCGCCAAGCGACAGACGTGTCGCCAGGCCTGTCACCAGGCGACAACCTGTAGTGTGGCGTTGTAGACAATTTTTCTACGCGTTTTCATATTTTGATAAAATTTAAGCGTACGAAGGGTAAAACTGTAATTTCCTTTAAAACACTTCTTTTATTCTAAATAAAACTCTTAAACCTCAATTATCAATGCTAATCAAATTAGGATTCAAAAGAACCTTGTAGAAGATTCTAGAAGACTACAATCAATGCTAATTACATTAGGAATGATAAATCATAATAGGCCCTCCTCTAGACCATTGGGCCTCATATAAAGATCAAACCGGGCCCAGTTTAGTAGTTTGGCCATAACTTCCTCATTATTCATCGGAATTGGGCTTATAATATATCGTTGGAAAGTTCTTTTTGAGCCCAATCCAAATACACTATTATTGGACCCTTTCCATGGACCAAACTAAACTGGATTAGCTATTTTCATAAAATAGGTTTTCAAAAAAAGAGAGAAATAAAGAAAAAAATTAAAAATAAACCGCAATACTAGACTTTCCACACTTTCACTTCATTTGATTATGATTCGACGTGAAAGGTATTCATGACCGGGTTTGGTTTTGGGGAGACACAAATGGGTGTCTAGAGAAGCCCCCACTTTGACTGAGTTTGGAGAAACGCAAGTTTCGAAAACAAAAGTCAAAGTACCGATAGGGACGGAGAATGATTCATAACGTTCTGCGATCCTAAATCACTCTTGTAACGCCGATACCTGTAAACTAGCATTAGTGAAACAAATAAAAGAGTTAAGAAACGCGTATCTTGCACCGTCGAGCACACGTCTCTGGAGGTAACCGATTTGTTTCTGCATTTGCTGTTGTGACAACCTTCCGCAAGCTAGGGAACACCATCCCGCTGTTTTGATGTTGATATGTCCACGCGTCACTGAATAAAGAGCTTTGAATTATATGCTCACTCGTCTCTGAGCAAAGAGCTTCGATGATATGTTCACGCATCTCTGAACAAAGAGCTTCTTTTTATTTGACGATCTTCCTCAAGATAGGGGATACTGCCTGAAGACTGCTACGCCTATGACTGCCTCCAATTCTGCTGTGATATTCTTCTGCAAGCTAGAGAACCCTATCGAAGATTGCTTCGCCTGAAACGACCTTCTAGCGCTTTGTGACCATTTTCCGCAAGCTAGGGAACATGATCGAAGATTGCTTCGCCTGAAGCCATCCTCATTTTTTGGGATAATACTCTGAAGAGTATCACTGAAGACCAACGCATGTCAATCCTTTAAAGTTCTCTTGAACTTTGCTTTTGCTATGCCAGTGCGTCAGCGCTTTTGCTGCTTGTGAACCAGTATGTCGGTGCCTCTGAATTGTGAACCAGTATGTCGGTGCTTCTGTTGTTTGTGAACCAGTATGTCGGTACCTTCGCATTGAGCCAATTTTTAGGCGCTTTAAGCTAAGTGAGACGATCATTTATCAGGTCGATCACTTAATGCGATTGTAATCGAGCCGGTTATTAAATCATGTTAAATTTCTTATAGGGCTAACTAGCGTACCAAGGAACCCAAAATTGTTGTACGAGGTCGAAATAATCGTTCTGAGAGGCTTTGTGCTCTGTCGCCGCTTCAACGTCTCTAGCGCCGCAATTTTGCCCTGTCGCTCGGCGACAAAGCTGCCGTGCGACGCTGCAGTCAAGATTTTTGTATAAATCCTTTTTATTCCTCATTTTGCTGCTACTGCTGTTACTTTCGTTCGAGTTCGCCGCGAAACTTCAAATTGCTCAATCTCACTCGTTTCTCAACTAAATTCGCTCAAATTTGTTGCAAATCAAAGCTTTGTTCTTCTAGTTTGCTGATCTGTGTAAGTTTTTTCCAAATTCACTCGAATTTTGATGAATTTTGTTCATGTTTATTCACGAATTTCTTGAAAATTCGAAACTTATATTGCTCAATTCTCTTTGTTTGTCAAATTTTATGCCACGAAATTGCTTGATTATGTTTATATATTGCCTTGGGAGTATTTTGAGACTTGTTTGACTCAATTTGGTGAAGAAACAAACGATTCACTATTGTTGAACCTCTTAAGGTCTGAAAACAATGTGGCCCGTTCTTGATTTGTTTACTAGCAATTCTTGTCCGATTTGTCACAATAATTATCATAATATTGTAAGAAATTTTTTGGTTGCTCGAAAAATTCCATGTATGCTTGAATTGTAATTGTGCTCTATTTTAGTACTATGTACTCTGTTTTTTTGTGAACATAGTATCATGCGGCTAGGCAAACCTTAGATACTATAGAACCTTATTTTTTGTCAATTCTGCACAATGTAGTATGGCTAGACAGTGAGGTTCTGATTCCCGGTCTCGAGACACGCGACGGGAGAACGAGCCCGCTCAGGAGGACACCGACCCGTCCACCTCTCTCAGTTCCTTCCCTGAGTGGGACGAGCGGACACTGTTCTTTGCCCCCGAGCACCACATTTCAGAGAGGGTGCGTCGCAGGATCGTTAGTGCAGGACACGCAACCACGGATCGGGTAATGACACTCTGGGGATGCTGTACGACAAGTATTTCAGCGACAATGAGGGGCTGCGACTTCTTTGGGAGTCTTGTGGGATGACTGCCCTGTTTCGGGCCACGCAGGCCATGTACTCATTTGACGCGAGCCACCACGTAATTCGCGCTTTGATGGAGTTCTTCTAGGACACCACCAACACTTTCCACTTTCCTTGGGGTGAGATGACTATCACCCCAGCCGACTTCAGTCTTATTTCGGGACTGGAGTTTAGCTCGACCGCGCTGCCGTTCGACAGCTCCATCAGCGTTTTCTCTCCTGAGGTCGATGAGATGTTGGGTCCGATTGCTGTTTGGGCCCGTGCTGAGGTGGAGCCATCACGATTTAGCTCCAGGTGCATTCGTCGGTCGACTCTGGCGATGGATTTCGAGGACGATGTGACTACCCGAGAGCAGCAGGTGCACATCTTTGCACTTATTTTGCTGTTAGAGACGTTTTCCCCTGACAAAGGTAGTAGGGTGCTTCCTACTGTCCGCGATCTTCAGCTGATCAGGAGTTATGATTGGGCCAGCTTGGCCTATGCTGACTTTTTGCGAGGATTGCGAGACTCCTGTCGACAGCAGTCTTACACAGGGGACATCGCTCAATCTAGCTTCTGGAGAGTCGTAGAGGTATACTTCATCTCTTACAAAGTTAGATCTAAGCTCTTATTAGCATCCGCTGATTTCCTCTTTATCTTTGTAGATTTGGTTCTACGAGTAATTTCCTTCGCTTGCGCCAGCGAGACCATCTCCACGCGAGTTCCCCGTTGGCGCCTGTTGGGGAGGTCGCTTCAGTAACCAGGCAACTACTGCCCGTGTTTGAGAGTTGATCCTCTCGGTATGTTCCTTTTCATAGTTCGCTTTTGGTAGAAACTTTATCTTATAGGCATTCTTTGCAGGAGCCTGATGTACTATACCGGCCATGGGGTGGTCCGGTTACTTCTGCGCTGGCTGCGCAGTACACTGCTGAGTGTCGCTACTAATTTCAAGGGACATATGAGGCGGCGTGTACCTAGGAGAGAGAGTTTCTATTCAGCACTCCTCAGAGATTTTCGTCGTCCCTGCTCCTCCGCCACGTCATATGTTTCATGACGCGATGCTGCTCAACTTGTCGGGAGGTCACCTGCTGGTACCCCTTGGCGATCTCATGCTAGCTCAGGGCGATGCTACGAGTAGGATCTGCTGCCGTTGTTAGCTCCGGCTCCTGTTTTGTCTGAGGAAGCGGCGGTATGATTTTTGTATTTTATCTCTTTGCTAAGTAGCCCCTAAGTGATATTTTATTCACCTCGGTTTGCTTTTTGCTAGATCGATCCTACTGAGTTTGTTCCCCCTCGAATGTCCATCCACTATCAGGGGACATATGAGCCTATTGATGAGATGATCCCTCTTGCTCCTGAGGATCAGCGTTTTGTTGAGCGATCTATCCCTCACCACCAGACTCGGGTAAGTTATTTGCTTGCTATTTATTTATATCTGTCTTGTATTGTTACTATGCAGGTTAATTAAGCCAGACGACCCGTTGAGTCATGGCCGATAAGGCTACACGCTCAGAACAACTGGCATGAAAAGAACCTCACGCCATCTCTTGAGAGGCTAGTTGTAGGGGATAGCTCCTGCTGAGCTATTCCTTCCAGCTGGGCTCAGTTAAGAAGAATGTTCCTACAAGCAAAGAGTCGGCATGAGTGACCTCATACCACCTCTTGAGGGGCTAGTTGTATAGGATAGCTCCCACTGAAATATCGCCCAGCCCCTAGGGTGCGCACTCACTGCCGAGAAATCAATTAAAGGAGGGCTCACTAGACCGGCAGAGTCAGCCCGCAGGGCTGACCAGGCTGAACTCTCCACGAAGGAGATGGTACGCCTATAAATAGAGGATAAAGTACAACGGAATGGGGGTAAGACAATCAAGTCGCTATACTTTCTACATCTTTCTAAGTACACTTTCTCTCTCTAAACATTCTCTAACTTAAGCTTCGGAGAAGGGTTCCTCGAGCCACCCCCAAGGGCAGTTTACGTGTGCTACCTTGTGTAGGTAGTTAACAGGATCAAGTTCACCCAGCAGAACCCTTGGATCCGCACTTGGAACAGTTACTGATTTTATTTCTTTGACAGTTCTCGCGCGAGGTGGTTACGGCGATGGCGAGGTGCATAGAAGCCTTCCGGAGCCAGCTCGTGCGGATGAGGAACATGGATTCCTGTCGTCGTGACGACACTGTTCGGGAGGTAGCTTTTCCTCTTTATTTCTACTTTTTTTATATTTCTATTTTCTTTTCTTCTAACATGATTTCTTTTTACAGGGACAACCTATTCCTTCCCGTACTCGGAAGAGACATGAGGTTCGGAGAGAGCCGACTAGGTCTAGTTCTAGGCGTCGCCGCACTACTTCTGGTGGTCGGGGTGGCTGTTCTGATGTTGCCCGTACCGAGGCGGTGGAGGGCTCGGGCTCTTCATCTGAGAGTGCACAGGCTGGGCTGATGGACTACGGAGAGGCGACATCGGCTCCGAGAGGTGGTGGGACATACGAGGTTGGCTCGTCGTCGCAGCAGCCTCTGCAGCCTCAGCCTTTGCTGATTCATCACCAGGGCGACCTTGGGTGAACTGGTCTCGAGTTGAGTTTCCCTTCTCCTAATGAGACCGGAGCAGGTGGGGAGCATACTCCACGATCTGAGCAGTTCTTCGATATGATGAACATTCCTCATCATCTGCGTCCTCCAGCGCCGTAGTTGTAACTGTGTTTATTTATTCTAACTTTTATAAGACTTTGTCTGACTGACACATTTGTTAGACACATTTTGTATATATAGACTATTATATATCATGATTGTATTATCTTTGTATTTATTTTTCATTTTTATGTGCATATGTGTGTGTGCAAGAAATTGTGATTAACTTTTGCACAAAAATTTCCGTCATTTTTATTACTAATGGAGGGTATCATACTTTCTCCCTCAAAAAGAAAAAATGAAAAATAAATTGGACTTAAAACAAACCTAAATTTAATTAAGTCTGAATAAATTGGACTTAAAACAAACCTAAATTTAATTAAGTCTGAATAAATCCAAGAAGAAAATAGAAGGGGAATACATTAAATCAATATATGTGGGGTATTTGAACAAAGGGCAAAGTTGTAAAGTCATTGTACGAATTCAAATCATAGCCAGAAAAACGTGGTTTGCATAGTACGTCAAGGAAGCGCTGCAGCGCCATGCGTTTAGCGCTGTCGCCGAACGCTGCTGTTGTCGCCAAGCGACTGGCTTGTCGTTCGGCGCTGTAGTTCGCTGATTCTGAGTCCTTTCCGGAGTCAAACTGCATCGATTTTGTAAATAAATAGCCCCCTAATTTGCCGATTTTCTGTATAATTCGGACAGATTATAATCTTAGTTTCTCAACAAATAATCATGTCTTTAGTTACTAAGAGTTTTAGCAATTTCACTCGTGAATGGTGTCGGTCTTTAACTGCTAAAGAGAGAAAAGAACTCGACTTTTTTCACATGGGAGGTATTTATGGTGTTAAAGGGGTAGATCTTGATATAAATTTTATTCATACCGCCTTAGAATACTAGGATACAGATACACATTGCTTTAGACTAGGGTGTGATGAAATTAGCCCTTTACCATAAGAATTTTGTGCCATCTTAGGCTTCCCTTCATTAGATCTTGCGGTAATCCCTAGAATAAATGAATATTATTATAAAGATTTTGAGCCCTTCTTTAATTTAAGAGATAGAGATCTAACAAATATTGTAGATGGTAGCGTAGTTAATCTAAAAGAATTTGCACGCCACTACTTTGATAGACCTTATTCTGAATCTTTTCATGTTTATAGAAGAAGGGCTTTTCTCTTTTGCATGCTTAACCAATATCTTCTCACTAGTGGTAGAACTAATGAGGGTCAAACAATTATATTAACTGTTTTGGAGCAAATTGAATCTGGAAGAAATCCAATGCCATTAAATGTTGGAGAGACTATGCTTAGTCTGATCTTGATGAATTGAAGAAAAATCCAAAACCACATTTTCGGGGCTCTCTAATTTTATTACAGGTAGAAAAATAATATTTTTAATTATAGAAATCAAAAACATATTTTTGTATAGTAATACTAATTTATTTGCATTGATATTTTTTTTTTTTTTAGCAGATATGGCTAATGGAGAGACTAGAATTAATTAGTCTTCCTGATAATATCGAAAAATATACTTCAAATTGCTTTGTGAGGCGAAAGAAACTCTTCTCTAAGATGGGGCGCCATGAGTGGAATAAAGTCTTTGCCTCTTGCAACTTTGCAATCAAGTGGGTCGTCCCCTGCTGGAAAATAGAGAAGATGGTTGGTGTCAACAAGCAACCCTTTTGCCGTCTTCCTAGCTTAACCAAGATGACTTTTTATTATCCCTGCAGGGTAAAAAGGCAGTACGGTCTACTTCAAACAATTCCTTCTGGGGATCTTCGTCGTCCCTATGAATTCCCTGTTTCACAAGAAGTAGAGAAATTTGACACATTGGATTCGCACCCAGTTCACCCAGCAGAACCCTTGGATTCACACCTGGAACAATTGGCGCTAGAAGGAGGGGGAAGATCATCTGACCTGAGGTTTACCAATTGAGCTAGGGACTAGTTAACTAACCACCATGGTCGGAGAAGAAACTATACAGACACTCATGTCTAAAACTAATGAGACCAGCCAAACATCACAAAAAACACCCCCAGTAACCATCGATCTAAAAGGATCCACCGGAAACCTCAAATCGACCATCTCGCAGAAATCCAACCCCATCGGATCGACATCAGCTGCTGCTAAAGCGGCGTCGAAACCAGTAGACCCGGTGGGATCCAGCTCCATTTTCAAATATGGAATGCCGTTAACAGGCGTGAATAACGAACTCATTGTTTCAGCACCTGTGGCCCAGAAACAGCAGCCCGTAAATACGCCAGCCATTCTACAGAACCTCTTTAAGTGCAGTAAGGAGCAGTTGGCTGCAATGACTGTGGTCTTCACCAATATGGGTAAGGGAGAAAGTCCGTCACCGACAGCGGCCGCTGCGGAGCCCGTAGCGAAAAAGCCGGCGTCCTCGACCCTCACCCCTGAGAAGAAAGAGCTCATTCAGCTGAGGAAGAAGGTATTGGAGTTGGAAGCTCGTAACCTGAATCAAGAATGGAGTGTGGAGGAAATAACCCCTACTCGAGGCAGCCCGGAGAAGCAAGTCCCACGCAGCAGGTCATCGACCTCAAAGCGAGGACCCAACCCGGAGAAAGACAAACGAGCGCGAATCCATGTTGTTCTAGATGATTCCCCATTTATGGGAGATTTTGGAGGAACTAATGGAGAAAGTAAAGATGCCAAGTTGCAGATACAACGGAACCACAACACCCAAAAGCCACATGTCAGCTTTTCAGAACCATATGGTACTTTACACATTGACAGACTCAGTCTGGTGTAAAGCTTTCCCGCCGACCCTGGAGGGGCTGGCAGCTGAGTGGTATGGAGCCATTCCCAAATGTTCCGTATACTCGTACAGCCAGTTGAAGAGAATGTTCATGGAACATTTCATAACCCTGGTAAACCAAATCATGATGACAACCGAGCTGATGTCGTTGGCTTAAGGGAAAGACGAGCCCCTGAGGGAGTTCATCACCAGATTCAAAAAGGAGGCAACAACCATCCCAAATATGAGCCAGGAGGTAGCGCTACTAGCAATTCAGAGTGGCTTACTTCCAGGATCACCGTTCAGAGCGTATATGGGGCGTAAGAGTCTCAAAACACTTGCTGAAGCGCTGGGCAAAGCGCACGAGTTCATCAAAGCGGACGAGACTGACAGAGAAATGCTGGGTAGGAAAGCACTTGGTGACTCGGTTAAGCGGGCACAGGTCGCCCAGGCAGAGAACACACCCAGGGTGGACCAGCCGAGTAGGGCTGAGCAAAACCGTAGAGAAACGGACAGGGCAGTAGGACTGAGAAGGTCGGACCCAAAGAGAGGGCCAAGACCTGGGAGGTTTGACCAATATACCCCATTAACCCATTCCAGGTCTCATATATTCAGCGTGAACAAAGATGATGACAAGTGGCAGAGACCTCCGAGGATGGTTAGCAGAAATCGTGATACCAGCAAGTGGTGTGACTTCCATAGGGACCATGGTCACACCATTGAAGAATGCACACATTTGAAGGACAACATAGAAGAATTGGTCAGGAGAGGGTACTTGAATCAGTTTAAGCAGCGCGATGACCCTCCTAGAAGGAGGGATAAGGATAGAGCGGGCCTCCTTGACCGTAGAGGAGGTCATAGGGGCCCAGCCGGAGACAAAGACATAGATGGCAAGCCAGAAGGCAGAGTGTATGCAATCAGCGGGGGCCCAGTACATGGGGGAACAGGCAACAGATCACGGGTTGACCTGCAGGCGATGATACATCAAATAAATGACAATGATAAACGTAGATGGCCACCTCTTCCCCCGCAGCCGCAGGCCAAGTGTGACGAGTATGACTGTAGACACCCATTTTTGTCTCCCCAAAACTAAAACCAGTGATGAGTACCTTTTACGTCGAATAATATTGAATGAAGTGAAAGCGTGGAAAGTTTAGTGTTGTGAAAAGTTTTAATTTCTTTTCTCTTCTCTCTGTTTTTGAAAACCTATTTTAAGAAAACAGCCAATCCAGTTTGGTTGGTCCATGATTTGGGTCCAATAGTAGTGTATTTGGATGGGGCTTGAAAAGAGCTTTCCAACGATATATTCTAAGCCCAATTCCGATGAATATTGAGGAAGTTATGGCCAAAATACTAAATTGGGCCTGGTTTGAGCCTTATATGCGGCCCAATGATCTAGAGGAGGGCCTAATATGGATTTATCATTCCGAATGCAATTAGGAATGGTTTTAGTCTTCTAAATTCTTCTAGAAGGTTCTTTTCATTCCTAATTCGATTAACATTGATAAATTGACTTTTGACTTTTTAGAGTTTTAATCAGATTCAAAGAACGTTTTTGAGGAAAATACGATTTTATCCTCCTGTACGGCAATTTCTATCTGATTTTAAGAAAACGCGTGAATTTCTGAGTCAGCGCCAAACGCCAGCTGTAGCGCCTGACGCTACGCTTGGCGCCTGGTGCTAGCCTTAACGTCTGGCGCTAAGGTCAACGTTTGGCGCTAACGTGGTTTTTTGCGTCAGAATTCTGTTTTTGATGTTTTATCTTTTTTGCTGATTTTCTCTATAAATAACGTGCTAAAAACTCCGTTTTGATTCACCAACTCTCATCAATATTTTCTTGATTACTTTCTCTCTTTCTTTTCTAAACTAGCTTTTTCACAAATACAAAATTCTGCATACATTAGACTTAGAAACACCTAGCATAGTTCGAAGTTGCCTTCGCCCTAGACGTAAAAGGTTTAATTTATGAGGGTTTGGTCCCAAATCTCTATTTCAATCTTTTAATTTAATTTTTTTGTTTATTATTTTCCTTGAATTTACTAACGTGTGTATTTTGTTATTAGAAAGAGGTACGAGGCATCCAAGTAAGTGCTTTAATGGTTTAATTGATATTATGATATAAAAATCATGCTTAGATTGTTATTTTGATTCCTAGTATCATGTTAGGATTTTTCCTTAATTTGATGTTTAGAGTGACAACAATAAATTCCTAGTATCATGTATAGGGTAACTTTAATATTAAGTATGATTAAAAATATGATGCCTTTTATGTTCTTCCCAATATTTATGATTGTTAGTATCATGTTAGTATTAAATCTTTGATTTTTATTGTTTAGTGACATGCTAGGGTTTATTAATAATCTTGTTAGTATTATGCCTAGGATCTTGCTATTATTATGCTTTAACATGATTATTGATTAT